CCAGCCAGCCATGCTGGCTGGGGAAATTTGGGAGGTGAAGTCCACACATCTCAAAGTTGCCAAGCCTGAGAAACACTAATCTAGAGACTCTTCAGCTCCTGTTGAATGGGTGTGCTTATCCATAAACTCTCCCACCATGAGACTTTTCAGTTCGAGGGATCCCTCGCTCTCTCCAAGATAATGGTAAACAGAAATGGTTTGAACAGCTTCTGTTCCTAAAGAATGCATCAGCACCTGCTTTGTTTGGGGGAAAACTGGGGACGGGGGTTGATTTTTTTTTTCTCTCCCAAACCCTTGTCATTTTCTCTGCCTTCAGACATTTCTGAGGTCCCATTTCCCACCCTGGTTTTCACCCAACTACAGGTTTTCCCAGCCTGGGCAGATGTGGAATGCATCTGCTGGATTTTCAAGGTCATGGAATTATCCCATTTGAGATTCCTGGCATTGAGACTTAGAACCTTAAGCTGTGTGCAGGAATTGTTGCCATAAAGAATTATGATTTGGCAGGAGGACCTCTTAGCAGATGCACCGCTCCAAAAAAACAAATTTGTAGCCATATCATAAACTGTACTCAGTGCTCTGGGGAGTTTCGCCTTTTTGATTTCCTCAATGTGTGTGTGTGTGTGTGTGTGTGTGTGTGTGTGTGTGGTACTTGTTTTAAAGAGCCAGGCTGGGATTTCTCAATTTTCCAATCCAGCCCAAATGAAGTATAATACCAGTAAACAGGATTTGACATACTAATAGTGGAATATATACGCCTAGGGCTATGCGCAGATGATTTTGGACTTTGCATGAATATAGCATCTCTCTGCTAAGAATCCAAGGAGCCATGTCCTTTTGGCTTCTGCATAAACCTGATGCTTTAAGGACCTGACTTCTTAAAGCTTATCAAGTTAAAGTTATTTATCACTATCACCATCATAATCATCATCATTTGCCTTCAAGTAAAAAGCTTAATTCTAGGCATCCATCTAGACAAATCTCTGCGGTTTTCTAGGCAGCATTTTTGCAAATGGTTGGCCCTTACTTTCTTCTCCCTAGGGCTGAGAGAGAGGGACTGGCACAAAGTCATGCAGCTGGCTTCCATGCCATGGGCAGGACTAGAAGTCACAGTCTCCTGATTTCTAGCCTAGCGCCTTTAACTTCTACGTCCAACTGGCTCTCAAAAAAAATTTATTGCTTTAATGAATAGCAGGAGGTGCCATGCTCACACAAGCTCTGAAACGCTTCTTCCAAATCATTATTGACATCTGCAGAGCCTTATTCATTGGCAACATGCTAGTAAATGATGAATGGAATGTTGGTGAGCAGCAAGGGCAGGTCCGGTGGCTGGAGTTGGTGGACACAGGATAGATCTGAAGGGCTGCCCTCTCTCAACCATAAGCTGATCTTTATTATTCCCTTCAGGCAAGTGACATGAAAAAGGCAGTTATTAATAGATCCAAGACATGTTTAGTATCTTTAGTTTTGCAGCGCTGGTGCAGAGCTTCCTGTCCATTAGATGAGAGAAGAGGCAGCTTTAGCTTATTGCTCGGGCAATGACTCACACATGTGCCATGTGAATCTTCAACATTTCCAGTGAAATCACCTCTTCTTGGGGCAGATCTTTGCTTGAAATGATGGAGGACCCATGCAAATCAAGATTAGCAAAAGGAGGCACTATGAACAGTGGCCTGACTCGGCCAAATGCACCTCTGTGCCTTTGTTTCACCACCTAGAAACCAAGGAAGGGAATGGGTTATCCTCAGTCTTGGTAGGTAAAAACTTGGCAGACTAAAGGATATCTTCAGAATGTATTGCAGCCACCTCTGGATGGTCCATCTTGTTCCCAGAAGCCCCATCTAGAGATGGCATGGAGGTCAAGTGGTGGATAAGAAGGACCTGTTCATTTCTTCCTGGATTCCATTGATTTGGGCTGACTCAGGTGGCCATGACCTTAGCCAATCCCAAAATAGCTAAGTAGGGTCTCAGACCTGGTTAGCATTTGGAGGGGAGGCCCACCAATTCTGGTGCTAGACAGGGAAGCTGAAAGAAATCATCCCCAAAGAAGGCAATGATTGGGAAACTAATTTTATACTGCTGTCAAAACTATGGGGGCTGTAACCACCAGAAATCAAGCTCAACTTGATTGAGATCCAGTTGGCCCATTGGTTAGGATGCTGGACTAGAAACCAGGAGCCCATGAGTTCTAGTTTTCCCTTAGGCAGGAAACAGCTGGGTGGCCTTGGGCTAGTCCCTCTCTTTTAGCCCAACCCACTTCACAGGCTTGTGGCTGTAGGGAAAATAGGAGGAGGGAACATTACCCGTTCTGCCTTGAATTGTAAAAAATGCAACCGAATAGCTAAGAGGTGCAAGACAAACCATGTAGCTGGGTTTGCTCTCTTTCCAAGTCCTTGCTGCTACCTCCAGCATCTGCTGCCTGAGACAACTTCTCCACTGTGTCTCATGGCAGAGTGCCATCCGAGTCAAAAGAAGCAAAAACAGTCTTTCCATCACCTTCCTCTGTGGGATCCTTTATAACTGGAGATGCCAAGAATTAATCCAAGAACTTTTGTTTTGTTTTGCTTTAGCCACTGAGTTGGAGCTGTGCTTTGTTTTGAACTTTGCAAAGCACCTTGAGCTTATATGATGGAACAAAGTCTGGAAAGAAAGAAAGAACAAAAGGCAAGGAGGGAATTGGGGGATTAAAGAGAAGTTCAATCAACCCAAACCCAGTTGGAGGAACTTCTGAGCTTCTGTCTTAATGTCATAACGCCTCTCCCCATTCCCCTCCATCTAGCCTAAAGAAGGTCAATGAATATAATAAATATGATTACTCCCTATGTATTTAATTTTTTTCTCCTTCTGACTTGTTAAAAAAGATGCAACCTGGTGGCATGATTTGGAGGGCCACTGAGGTCCTCATTCAAGGTTTTCAGTGGCCTTCAGGAGCAAAAGTTGTTCACCT